TTGGCATCCAGACTTTTCCCTGAGAGGGTTATTCAGAGCAGGACTCACGAATCAGACCCTAACTGACTCTCTCTCCCTGTGCACTCCTGAGGTGAATGCAGAGACTTTGGGAAATTGCTTGTGATGGTCTGATCTTAAGACCTTTACGGCTTTGTCCTGAGGGTGGCCCTGAGCCAGAAAGAGCTGAGTGGGAGAGAATTAGGTGGGGCCAGTGTCTCTGCAGGATGGATGGAGCATGAACCCGCTGTTGTAGATAACATCTAAAGGAGAGGTCTGGCCTCCCATGGGCACAGAGGCTGCCCGCAGTGGTGAGTGTGGACATCACTAGGGGCAGCAGTGTGGGTGGAACAGGCACGCAGAGCAGCGTTTTCCCTCAGTGCGGAATCAGCCCACCTGGTCAGGTCAGATTCCAGAGTACTGAGGGAGTCCTGTTTACTAGTGGCTGGCTGCTAAAGGTGACACACATGTTGGCTTCCTCCTCTCTGACACCCCACAGTAAAAGACTTTCACGTTAGACGGGGAGGCTCAGCCATCTCTGTCCCTCTGCCTCTTTCCTTGAACCACACACCCTTTTGTTGCTCTCACTTGGCCCAGGCCTTTCAGATTGCTGGGTGGTGTGGTCCGTGCTCCAGTGGCAGCTCTTTTGGCCCACCTGGAGGCTCCTTATAGAAAGTGCATGTGCATGCTGACAGCTTCCTGTGTTCCACTAGGGACAGCAAAGGCTGGGAGGGTAATACCTCAGGAGTGACCTTCAACCAACGTGGGATGAGGAGATAGACAAATCCCCTGGTTCCTTTGCCACCCCAACAGGGTAGGAAATGCTTGTGAGTTGGAACCCATCGGCTAAAACTGGGGAGATGGTGAAGGTTGGTCACCACTGACAAAATCAGTGCCTAGTGTGGTGTTTAGGTTACTCAGCAATCCTAACCTTCCTTTGGTTTTAACCTTGTCTCTTAGGATCCTGTCATACTGCTCTGGAATCTCTATCACCTCGTAGCATGTGGACATACTTTACACAGTAGACAGCAAGAGTTTGGGGTGTCACTACAAAGATTTCCCTGAGTCTCTTTGTCTCATAGCATGAAGATCGATTAATTTTACAGAAGCCTCATTTTCTCTGTATGTAAAAAAAGACATTGGACCAAGTCAGAATTTCTCATAAAGCAGCCAGAGAAACAACAGCTCTTTAAAATGGTAGCAGCTATCATCTGGAGTACAACAGATTGGAATGATGACTTTATTTTGGAATATTGCTGGATTAAAGTGCAATTTTTAGCTGTAGAACCTCTCAGATAATTTAATACAAAAATTCACCTTTCTTTTGGTGGTCTTTTGGAGACAGGGTCTCTCTTTGTAGTCCAGGGTGGACTTGAACTCACTATGTAGCCCAGGCTGGCCTCAAGCTTGTGGTGATCCATCTCCCTCAGCTTCCCAGATGATAGGAATACAGGCATACACTATACACCCTGCAAAAATTCACCTCAAAGAAGGCATGTCTTCAAAACAGCAAACACACCAAGCAGGATAGAATCCAAGGGTGGTTCAGATTCAAAGTGCTATAATTCTTTATCAATTTCCCTTGACAGTAGAGATATAAAGAGGAATATAATCGATGATTGGCTCATTTTAGTTCTCTCCTATAGACATGATATGCTGATTGGTCTTTAACAACTGTGCTTAAGTAGCTCAAAGCAAGTGGCAGTAATGGGGTCATTTTTAAAGTAGAGTGTTAAGAGGATAAATCAATGGGATTGAAAACAGTTTAAACAAGTTGTTGCTCAAAACCAGACTAGATATTTCAGTTACTTTAATGATGCAATGGGCGATAAAACCCATTGAAAAAATTGACAGCAAAATGGTGTTGGTTTGGGTTTTCTTTTCTTTTTTTGGGCATAATCTTGGTTGGGATAGCTGCTATGAAGAAGGCCTTTCACCTGAAACTCCCGAGTAGTAGAATCCTACTCAGCATCTCCAGATGTGTGGGGGTGGGGGAGGGGGCGGTTGGGAGGGTTTAGTTTTTCGGCACATGATGGAGAAAGTTGCTATGATCTCATGTTCACAGTTAAATGTGTGGTGAAAGTCCAAATGCTTCAGCCACCACGGCTCTCCGCGCTGGGGCAATGTCCACTCCATGTGATGTGAGCTGCCGCGACTGCCTTGGCATAGATTCTCCTTTAAGTGTCTTCTTCCTTTATTCAAAAGAATCCACACATGCTTAATCTACTGTTCTACAAATCTGGGCCTGAGTAATTCCAAGCTCTCTATACCAGTAGTTTTCATCAAAGAAGAATCTGTTTTGAGACCAGCATTTGATAGACAAGGGTGGAAGGCGCAGTAGCATCATCAAAACCATCGATGGGGTTAAAGCCAATGACCTGCAGCCTTACTCACAATAACTAAGACATGGGACCAACCTAGGAGCCCATCCATGGATGAATGGGAAAAGTAGGCTATGTGGTACATATGAAAAATGGATAGAACTGGAGAGATGATATTAAGTAAAATAAACCAGACACAGGAAGCCAAATATGGCATACTCTCTCTCATATGTGGAAGCTAAGGAAAAATTGGTCTGAATGTGGAATAGTGATTACCAGGGACTAGGAAGGGTGGAGGGCAGAGGGGATACAAACAGGTTGGATAACCAATGCACAGAGAGAAGGAGTAAGCTCTGCTGTTCCTCAGCACAGACTATATTATTCACATAAACTATTATATACTTTATGAAGACTGAGAAGGAAGAAGTTTGAGGGCTCCAAATGTAAAGAAATGATAAAGACAGAAATATTCACTATCTTGAACTGATCAGTGCATGCTGTATGAATGTGTTGAAATATTAAACATACTATTTATATGTACAATTATTACATAGTAATAAAAATTAAAACTAAATTCCCATTCTTGGCTCCACCCCTGGAGATTCTGGTGAAATAAAATGTCTACAGACATCTCAATTTTACAGAGTTCTACAGATACAACTCACATGTCCATCAATAAGCATCTAGACACACAAAATATAGTTTATGCATACAGTAGAATGCTAACAATTTAACAATTAAAAGTAAAAAACTGTCAATTGATGAAGTAGCTTGGATGCAGCTTCCAGACATCAAGTGAAAAAAGCTAGTCACCAATGAACACACAGTGTCAAATTTTTATGAAGTTCAAAAGAACACAAAAGTGTTACATAGTGTTAGAAATCAAAATTACAGTTTCTACTGAGTGGGAGTAGGGAAATTGACAATCAAAATGGTACAGGGACATTTTCTGGGGGTTATGAAAATACTATGTATGTTTTTTAGGTGATGGGCTATGTAGATGGACATAATTTTAAAACTTACAAAATGAATCCTTTTTCTTTTTAAAAACCACCCCTCCCCCAGTGCTGGGGAGCAAACCTAGGGTCTCACTAGAGTACATGAGGCAAGTACTCTGCCACTGAGGCACATCGCTAGTCTGATAAACTAAATCCTTAAGTGATGTGATGCTAATGTGTATGATCTGTACCTTATTTATTTACTGGGAGAAGGTCTCACTATGTTGCTTAGGCTGCTCTTGAACTCCTAGGGTCAAATGCTCCTGAGAAGCCAGAACTACAAGCGTGAGCCACCATACTTTGATGCTGATTTATATTTCATTTAGATGGACAGGCTAACACCCTCCAGTTGCAGTCTACTTCCGTGCTTAGGTCCAAGCTTGGTGCTCTCTACATGAGGAAGGGGCTTAACCCAGCCCAGCCCAACCAGAGCCTCAAGAATGGAATATTTCTGCATTCTCTACTTCGTGTCACACGGTCCTCCATTTTCATTTATCTTTCAGAATTCCTCCTACCATTTTTCTGTCTTTTGGGTAATAAAACCCCAGGGAACTCAACATACCACAAGCAGCTCAGTAATGAATCTGTAAGTCTCTAGGACAGTGTCCCTGTCCTATTTGTGTATCAGCAGCCATATCCACATTCCTTCAAGAAGCATCGTCTCTTCTGGGTCACTTAAAAGCCTCTTGTGTTTGAGAGCCTACTATGTGCTACACCATGTTGACGCTTTTACCAAGATTTTTGTTTTTTTCTTTTCTAAATAACTCTGATATTTTCCAGGAAATAGGTATTTTCCCTGCCACCCCCCCATTTTTCCAGATTAGTAATTGTTAAGGGATGACAAATAATGACCAAGAGCTTATTTCTTAGTTTGGTTGAATTGACACAACAAAATGTTATTAATTAGGTAGTTTATAAATCACAGAAGTTTATTTCTCACAGTTCTAGAGGCTGAAGGTCCAAGATCAAGGAGAGGTAGATTAAATTTTGGTGAAGCTCGGTGCTAGTGCGTAGACCACAACATTTGCTGGAGCCAGAGGAGAGAGGAGCTAGATACAGCCCTAAAAACTCTTTTGCGAAGGCACTAATCCCTTTCAGGTCTCAAGATCTAATCACCCTGCAAAAGCCCCTACTCCTCTTTGCCTCGGGGTTAGGCACCGGGGAAGGGGTTAAGATTTTAACACGTGAGCGAGGGGGCACAAACCTTGTGATGATAACAGATGATATTAGGCTGATCAGTGGAGCAGGCAGAGTTGGAACAATGATTGAAAAGCCTCTTAAAATTTAAGACCCTTTCTTTCCAGGGCCTGGAGGGAGAGAGGCGAAGGTAGGAATGGAGATGGAGGTAATTGTAAAGGGGGCAAACGCCCTTCCCTTGGTAATGCATCCCGGGTCCAGTCACCAGGAACCCAGCTAGTCCCAGGTTCTCTTGCTTACCCCGTCTAGTAGCTTAGAAGTGGTAACCTCAGGGAGACTTTTGTTTGGTACAACTTAGCAGACAAGAAGGAAGCAAGTGGGTAATGTAGATGTCTTTGCTTTTAGGTTTCTGGCTCTCTGAGATCAGAAGAGTGGGTTCCTATACGGGGGTGGTGAGGCATAGGGAGAAGCATCGGAGCAGACTCTCTGTGCGGGTGTGTGCGTGTCGGCGCGCCTGTGCTGGGGGGAAGATCGTCGTAGTCAGCGCGAGGCACTGGGGAGGAGGAAGCGGCCGCCGAGATCTGAATAATTGATTCTGCAGCCGCACCAGACCCGGGAGCGGGCGGGGAGCGTGGTTCCAGCACCACGGACAGCGGCGCGCGCCACCGCAGCGCCCCAGTCACCGTTCAGACACCTATCTCGGCCTTGTTCGTCGCCCTGCGCTCCGGGAGCCGGTGGCCGCGCTCCGCGCCGCCGCCTGGGGACTGCGGGGTCTGCCTCAGCCCGCCTCGGGGAGGGCGGCTGCGGGCGGAAGACGCTTTCGCCCGCCGGAGCTCCAAGCGTCTTTGGCTTGCGTGGGGGCTGCTGCGTCTTGCTGGCTAAGAACAAGTCCCTAAGTTGGCTTGGTGGGCGCCTTGCCTTCCTCTTCTTCGGAGGCGACCGCGACAGAAGCACGCCCCAGGAACCTTTGCCAGTGCCGTGAGCCAGGGCAGCCAGGCGCTCTCTGGACTCCCGCCGGGAAGTGGGGAACCGAACGCTCAGCGCGGAGCTGGCCCCACAGCCAAGGGCCCCGAGGGAGCTGCCTTCTCGCCCGCGCCTCTCTCTGCCGGGGACGGCGGGGATCCCCGGCTACACGCGCGCGCGCGCTCCCACACTCACACTCACACACACGCACACTCGCCCTCACACACACCAGTCTGAAGCGGGGCTGCGGAGAGGGCTCCCGGGCGCGCTCAGAGGACGGGGCAGCTGCCATCCAGAGTGGGGCAGGAGGCTGAGCTAGGGTTGCCGGAGCGAGAGTCGGAGAGCTTGGCCGGAGCATGGGGCCGGGTGAGCGCTGAGAGTCACGGCCGCAGCCATCAGCCCTGGAGATGACCAGGAGCGGCCACCGCTGAGAACTATGTGGAGGGAGGCTGCGGTGAGTGGTGGCGCGGGGCGCGGAACCCGGGAGGCCCCCTTGGGAAGGGGGCGGCGGGAGGCCTGGATAAGAGAGGGCGGCAGGACCGCCAGAGGGTCGCTACGTGGGAGTGATCGCACCTCCCTCGGGGATCCGGGACCGCAGGAGCCCGCGTCCTTCCCTCCCCCTTTCCTCCTGCCAGCTCGTCGCAAACTCAGCCAGCGCCCCCTCCTTCCCTCCTCTTTCTCTCCCTACCCCCCCCCCTTCAGCAGCTCCCGGTCGCAAAACTCCCAGCAGCCGGCGCCGGGGAGGTGGTAGGGGGTGAGGGTGGAGGTGCCCAGTTAGCTTCTCGTGGGTGGCCAGCCTGGGGCTCCCATTCTCCTATGCGCCCCTCAGCAGAGCTCGGGTTCTCCGCCACGGAGACTGAGTATCCGCACTGAGGGCGTCTGGGCGCGGAGCTCAGCTGCCCCTCTATGGTCGAGTCCCCAGGCGCATAGGGGGGCTGTGAGCACTGCAGACTGCAGCCTTCCCCCCACCCCCCTTTCCCCGCGCCGGTGGGCTGACCCTGACACTCCATCTGTCCCCCGCCCTGCTAGAGCCCTGCTGCAGAGCCTCCGGCTGGGATAGCCGCCCCCCGTGGGGGCGATGCGGACAGCGCGGGACAGCCAGGGGAGCGCGCGGGGGCCGCAGCATGCGGGAACCCGCTAAACCCGGTGGCTGCTGAGGCGGCCGAGATGCTCGTGCGCGCAGAGCGCCCCACTGCATCCTCGACCTTCTCCGGCTACAGGTACGTCCCAGCGGGAGATTCTGCTTTGGTGAGCCCGGGAGAAGAGAGACTCGATCAGAGGGAGAGCGGGAGAGGGATCGGGAGACAGAGGAAGCGAGATAGCGGGAGAGGGAGACCTGTGGTGAGGCTCAGGAGGAGCACCAGGGGGCGCTGCGGCTCCGCACTGGGCGATTCTCACCCAAAGAATACCAAGGCCGGTGCCTGTTCGCCCCAACTTCCCCGGGCTCCAACAGCGCCGGGCCGGAGGGGTGCGCGCCTGTACACGCGTGCACGTCGGTGCTGATATTTGCAGGCAAGAGCGGCAGCACGCTCGGCGCCGTACAGGTGTGTGCAGCGCTTGAGGACGTGTGAGGACTCCGAATGGCTGTGAACATCTCTTCGGCGCCCTGCGGAAGTGCGCAGAAAAGCGCGCGTGTCTGTGAGCGTGTGCAGCTTACTGCCCACATGCAACTAAGATCTGGCAACAGGGTTCGAAGTGGAAAGGTTAGGGAGGGGTATACAGCCCGCGTCTGTCTGAGAACTACTGGGGAGCCTACCTTTCTCCCCACGCACGTTCTTTGCCAGCTCCCACGCTCTGGCCCGCGGGGGGAAGCGCCTACTCTTCAGAATTCTGCATTGCACACGGTGTGCGCGAGAGACGGTGCGTGTGCACGCGCGTGAGTGCACGCGAGTGTGTAGGGAGCGAGTCCTGGGGCCACCTGCAGGTGAGTGAAAACCTCTTCAAGGCCCCTCCACAGAAGGTGGGGAGGGGCACGAGTTAACCCAGGCACCCAGAGCCCGGACACTCACACGAGCGTGCTCACTTCCAAGCCCTTAGGAGGGGGTACCCTGCAGGTGAGAAGCAAGGTCTGCACGAGTTGCCGCGCGTGGAGCGAGGTCTGTGGCGTACCCGGCCAGCTTGCCCCGGGTGAGGTCAGTTAACTAGCTCAGCGCGCAAGCAGGCTGCGGTGTGCGGGTGCCGCCTCCGCACGCCACGCCGGGGCTGGCCTGTAGTTCGCTCCGCGTAAGCAGGGGGCGGGGTCGGCAACTTGTTCCGCACTGCTCCTAGGGGCAAAGGGGAGCACAGAGGCTTTACTCCTCGCAGCCACGAGCCGGGTGGGGTCCATGGCTCGCTCGGCGCTCCCGGGCCGTGGTTTGCAGCTAACTTGGGGAACGAGGTGGGGGATGTGGGCAGAGTCAGGAATGGGGAAGCGGCCGGGGGTAGGGGGCCAGACCGAGGTAGGATGCGAGAATGGGCTTGGGGACAGAGGTGGAGAATTTGGTCGGATTAGATTTGTAGATGGAGCTGGAGATGGATCGAGGAATGTAGATGGCGTCGGGGATGAGGAACGGAGAGAGTGACCACCGCTGCCGGTGCTGGGGTAGGGATTGGTACCTGGCCCATAGAGCGAGGCGCAGGTCGATATTCTCCCTCCTGTGCGCCCCTTGTTCACGCCGCCCTGCCTCTCGCTCTCCACCTTGCAGGGACCGTAAGCGGCGACTATGGGAAGACTGGGCTATTGGACCTTGCTGGTGCTGCCGGCCCTACTGGTCTGGCGCGGTCCGGCGCGGTGCGCGGCGGCGGAAAAGGGTCCCCCTGCGCTGAACATTGCTGTGCTGCTGGGTCACAGTCACGACGTGACGGAGCGCGAACTTCGAAACTTGTGGGGACCGGAGCAGGCAGCGGGGCTGCCCCTGGACGTGAACGTGGTAGCGCTGCTCATGAACCGCACTGACCCCAAGAGCCTCATCACGCACGTGTGCGACCTCATGTCTGGGGCGCGCATCCACGGCTTGGTGTTTGGGGACGACACTGACCAGGAGGCTGTGGCTCAGATGCTGGATTTTATCTCCTCGCAGACTTTCATCCCCATCTTGGGCATCCACGGGGGCGCCTCAATGATCATGGCTGATAAGGTAAGACTGGGAGGGTATGGGCTGCTGGCTGGTTCTTGGACTCGCCTGGCATCTGTCTTGATGTGGAGGTGGGAGGACTTGTCTCTGGGTCGAGTGAGAACCAGGCCTCGCCTCTCCAACTGGAAGTGAAAGGAAATGCCCCTTGCCTCCATCCTGAAAGCGGAGTACTACAGTCACTTAGTTCGGTGTACCAGGAAGAATGTGGAAAGGGGTGGTGGTGGTGATGGCAGTGGAATGTTCGGAGATTTCCAAGGAGCAGTTAGCAGAGAGCCTGGGAGCACGTGGGCTAATATGAGTCATATTCCTATAATACTGATTCTACCTGATGCTTTGGGGGAAAAGTTCATTTATTTCTTTCTTGTGGTAAGTGACTAGAACTATTTTAAAAAATATTACAGGTGAGTTTATTGTGAGACAAAATGTGAAGCTTTTAGGTAAAGCACAAAAGGATAGAAAAATGTTAAGGTTCCCAGGATTGTGCAACAAGAGGACCAGAGGTCGGAGGCCCGAGGAGCCCTGGGCTGGAGAAGCACAGGTCAAACCCTTCCTCTAGGAGTGGAGAGGGGTGCCTCCAAGCTCAGAGTGCGGAGGGCTTGACATTTTTCTTACACACCCCTTGTGGGAATTGGCAGGGACTCCAAGAGCTCCAGATGGAGGAGCTGACTCCCAAAGACGGATCCTGGTCTTGAAGTTGAGTTCCGAAATGAAGGAAAGTGTGCTCAAGTCTTTTGAAGTATGATGACAGGACAAGCCTTTTTGTGAAAGTCCAGAGAGCCCTGGGTTAGAGAAAAATGGAGAGAAGTGGGGTGGCTTGAGTGAGACATCTTAAGGGCCCAGTTGGGAATTAGGCTGATGTGGAAGGTGGGAAGGAGGACCCAAGGGAGAAGTAAAATGAGGAAAGAGAAAAAAGCGGGGAACGGTTGGAGTTGTGAGTACACAGTAACTCTATGTAAGCCCGGGAAACATCTGGAGGTTGAGTGCACACATGGGTGCTGGTCTCTGCCGGGAGACCTTCTTGGAGGGTGCTCCACAGAGAGCAGGAGACATCCTAGCGGAGCACGCAGACATTTGTTACATCACTTTCCTCTGGAGGCTCTCAGAGTTTTGTGTTTATCAAACCCTGTTCTGGCTCTGCTCAGCACTTCCCACTGACTCCTTTGGGCACTGTATTAATTCTTTCAGGTCTCTTGGGCCACAGCACATTCAGCCGAAACACACAACTGATGCAGTATCTTATTAAACATTCATTTAAAATGGTTTGCCACCTAGCAGAATCCTGATGAGTGATTGAGTATTTTCTCTCAATTTTAGGGGTCACCTTTCTGTAATGAAAAGAGTAAAGAATTAGCAGAGTTCTGCCCCCAACCAATAGGCCATTTCAGAACTGAATAGGGCCTTAGAGTTTGCTGGAACATCAGGTAATTTTCCAGTGAAGTTAAGATACTTGACTAAGATCATGCAGTAGGTGATAGAGCTAAATATCTGGATTTCTGGTCCCAGGCTGTGAACTTACATTCCACCAAATCAAGCCTGTCTTTTAACTTTGTCATAGTACCCTTAATAGAGACAAGAAATCCATTGCATTATATGAAGAAGTACAGTGCATACAGGAAATCACAGCCTAGAGGGAGGAGCCAGGTTTCTCATGAAGGCGTGAACATGGAGAAAAAGAGTGCCTCTCAGCAAGGGTTGAGGGTATGCTTTTGGGATATAAATATTGATGTTAGTGCCTCTTTCCTTCCGAAGTTTTGCCTAAAGGAGCAACACCTAAAAAACAATAACAATAGTGAAAGTGAAATTTCTAGATCCACAAGGGACCAGCACAACCCAACAGAAAACAAGGTGAATTGGGGAGGGTGATTTGAGGCCGGGAGACCTGAGTAGCCTCCATCTCTCTTTCTTCAAAGTCTGAGCTGGCAGGTATGAGGAACAGGCTCTCACCTGCTGTGAACGGAGCATTGAAAAGAGAACTTTGGGAATTAAGAGAATATGGGTGAAGCCATCCTTCATTTTTGTGGGATAAAATTGCCTTATGGAGATGTGAACAAAAGCGTGACCCCACTTAAGAGTAAGAAAGAAGAAAGGAACCAGGAGATGGCTAGAGAAAGATGGAAAAGGACATATTCTGAGAAGACAAGATTAGAAGGAGATTTGAAGCACTGGAGAGGAAGAGAAAGAAGGAGCTCACTGGCTCAAAAATGGTGAAGGGAACCGAAGACTTTCCGTTATTGTTGGTGTCATCAGATTTGAAGCGATTGCCCCCTCTCTGTGGTTCTGGTGGAACTGCAGTGAGTTAAGGCAAGGGGGCAGGGCATTAAAGAAGTCGAAGGAGACAGTGTTGGGGGCATACGCTGGGTCCTATGTGTGGGATGGGCAGATGGTATTGAGAGGAGTTGGTTTAGAGGGTGGTATTTGGAGAAACCCAGATGTGTTTAAAAGGAAATTGTCTGACATGGGACCAACCTTCCCTACCATTAGTGACACAACTATTTGGCAGGCACCTTTACCACCTGTCTGCTTTAGAGCTGAACTCTTGGTAGGGCTTATTTGGCTCCAAAGAAGCAGTCACGTGATACTGCCTAAAACTGCCTTGTGTGGGTGTGCCAGCAGTGTTATGACCACAAAGTCTCAAGCTCCCTGAATTGACAAGCACCCTCAGCCTCCTCCTAAGATGGCTTTGACTTGGTAAGGTGGCCTAGAGTATCCCTGTGTTGTTTTTACTTCTAAATTGGCAGCGTGATAATGCCCATGTAGATAAGAGTAGTGGCTAGTGTGATTATCAGTGAAAGTGGAAACACACACACAGCCCCTATGTTTTCACCTCTCCCATGGCCTATACAACCCTTAAAGTAAAAGACAAAGACTTATGATTGAAATGGTGCTAAGTGGCAGATTTCTGTAGAGTCATTTAACTTACAACAGAGGTATTAATTTTTACTTGTATTGGTGTGTGGTCTGATCTTGTAATAAAATTGATTAATGTAACATTTGACATAGACAAAGTTCTAATCTTATCTGGATCTGGCCATTTTGGTTCTGTCCAGTTGAAGTAGATGTTGTTTTCAATAATAGTCTCCATTAAATCCAGTGAATGTCCTAGGCTTTGACCTTTTTGCTCAGTGTCCTGCCAGACCCATCCCCCCAACCCTCGTCTGTGATGGAAGACGCAAGGTTATGTCTATCCTCAACAGTTTCTTCTCTGGCTTTGCTTTATGTGTTAATTCTACACATACCCCTTCTCCATTACTAGAGTGAAAGTCCATTGAGGGCAAATTTTTAAAAAAAGTCTGCTCATGTGTATACCTGTATTTGAAATAATGAGTGCTGTTTCTTCATAGACACTTTGTGAAAATGATGTCTTCTCATTTTAAAAGGTATATTAAACTTTAAAGAAGAAAATGAAAATCTTGCTCCAAATTGTATCACCAAGAGTAACCACAGCTGACATTTTGGTGTACTTCTTTCTAAGCTTCATTGAGTTACAAGTTGAGGATTGTATTATATATATGTTTTTGCTTGTTGTACTTTGTACTCTGTAGGTTTCTGTAGTCAGAAGACTCAGGCTTTTCTTTAGTTCTGGAAAAACCCCAGCCACTCTCTGTTGAATATTTTCTCTGTTCCTATCTCTATTCTTTCCTTCTGGATATAGATTTATATATACATAGTAGTTTCTCAACCAATTCTCCATGAGTCCTGACTTAATTTTTTTCAGTTCTCTATCCCTGTGGGCTTTGAGACAGTTTCTTTCCAACTGTGTACTCCTGTTAACTGCCTTCCTTCATTTGTGGCCAGTCTATTGATTTGTTTATCCATCGAGCTTTTAATTTCAACAATGATATACTTTATTCCTAATGTTTACAATAGGTTCCCCCTCCCTGTTTTTTTCTAATAAATGATGTAGTGAACAATTCTTCTCATTCTGTGCATGCAAAGCCTTACTCTGTCTCTTCCAGGAGTTAATATATGCTTATTATTACACTGTTCTCCAATTGCTTTAGCCTCTTTGTTTCTTCAATCATAAATTCTTCCAGTTGTAGCATCTGTTAATTTGAGTCTTCATGTATTCTCTGATTTTCACTTGTGAACTTCTCCTCAGGGTAATTTTAGAGTTCCTTCTGCTGGCACCTGTAGGATGTAAGCTTTTAAATCACAGCTCGTGTCAATAGCTCAGTTCAGAGCTTTCTTCCAGCTCTGTGCAGCCCAAGGTGCAGGCTCAGCCTGCAGTCTCTTGTTGGTGACTTTGTGTTGCCTCTTTGATACACTCAGGGGCCTTCTTTTGGGTTGTGCGTCTTGGTTGGTGGTGGGGATGTTCCAGTGCATTCACAGCTGGAAGCATGATGCCACTGTGTTCTGTTACTTTTCCCCCTGGGGGAGCTTGGCCCCTGGTTCCCACAGTTCACATTAGACCCCTCTCCCCATGGATCACGTGGCTTTGACTTCTATTCACAATTGTACAGTCTCATCTGCTTCATTTTATTTTATTTTTTGTGGTGTTGGGGATTGACTCTAGGGCCTCATGCACACTTAAGCATGCGCTGTACTGCTGAGCCACACCCCCAGCCCGGAGTCTCACCATTTATGATCTGTGATTCTGTCATCTTATTTCCAAGCAATACTCTATAAATTTTAAAATAACTGAAGCATTCTATATAAATTCTATGTCTTAAGAGCAAAAGAAAGCATTACCAAATGTGTTCACTCTGATTTTGAGCCAGTTTCATTTCCCAACCTGCTTTCATGTTTTTCAAACTTGATTATATATTCTTGGAATTTTCCCTTGTCATTAAATAGATTTCTCAAACTTGATTCTAAATGGCTGCAGAGTGTTCTCTTTATACCACAATCATTTTAACTAATCCTCTATTTTTCCACCTCTAGTGAGAGCCATTTCGGTTTCCAATATGTGTCCTTTTTGATGCTCTGCACTGGTCTTGCCCTTTGTATTTGTTACTTGGTAAATGTTTGTTGATCAAATGACTCAAGTCACTGGCTCCCATGCC